GAAAAAAGGAGTGCAGAGAAACAAAAGCAAGCATCAATAAAATTCTTGTTTACAAATCAAGGCACTAATATTACACACAAATATTTTGTCAAAATAGTTACAAAGCCTTCTTTGAAAACAATGTCATTGCACATTTTGTTCTAATTTGGATTTCTTATACAGTAGAGGTTTTTCATCATTCACTAATGAAAGTTATGTTTACAGGCTCACTCCAATAACACATTTTTTTTAAAAAACAGAACTTTAAAAGAGTCCAAATTCTTTAAAGGAAAATATATATGTACAAAATATACATAATTATATATTTAAAAACTAAAGAAAAAAACATATATAAGCTAAAGTTCTATAACCTATTCTTATTAGGAATGTCCCTGAAAAGTTGGAAAAAACTCCCAAATTCCTCTATCATCCTTCTCCCCTAGACCTCTTAATGCAGAAATTGCACAAGAGGAGTTTGGGGTAGGCCTCACGTGTGTCCATCTCCTTTCTGGATCTGGACCCATGTGGGCCACAGCTGGATGACCACTCTGGAAAATGGCATCCTTTGGAGCACCACCCACATGAATACCAACATTGATGGGGTAATCTCACCTTGGGCCCAGGTAAACCATCAGAGCCTGGAAAACCACGATTGCCAGGAGCACCCTACAAATAACCAAAATGTGATTCTTAATTGTTGTTGATATTTTTATAACGTACAAACGGGTAATTTTCTAATTTTAGTAATAGAAGGTTATAGGGGCTATGATCAAACCAACACAGCAATAGATATGAATAAGAAAATAAAATCTGAGTAGACAAGATAAATTTTAAATTTTGAAGAATATATTAAGCACTAATCCAAATAATTATTCAAATGAAAAAAATACTCTAACAATCTATTGTAAACAGAGAAGAACTGATATCTAATATGAGAGGCAAAGTCATGATCTACAGCAATGAAAATGTCAACAATGACATGCATTAATGTTGTCTTGTATGTGAAGCCCTTTGCATTCTCTGAAGCTCTATACAAATGAGAGATTATTGTGATCCCTTTCAGACCTGTTTCATTGCACTACAGTCCCAGCAGCCTCTTTTGAGCTTTAAGATCACTAAGTTCTTTCTGGCCTCCTGGTTTGCAGTTGCTTTTCCCTCGGCTAGGAATGTTCTTGTTCCCAAGTTCTCTTGCTGGCTCATCCTCATCTTCAGGTCTCAGCTAAAATGCTGTCATCTCAGAGGTCCCTATATCCTAACCACCTAATCTAACTTTATCCCACTGACATATACCTGTAGTTATGCTCTACCACATCACCCTGTTACTTAATGTGTATATAGGACTTGTTAAAATGTGTGGATATGTTTTTACTTACCTGTTGACTTTTTTATTGTTTACCTCCCCACTAATGTTTACTAACCCTGACATGAAGACTGGAACCATAGCCTTCTTGTTCACTGGTGTATCCCAAGCACCAATACCTCAAATTGCCATAAAGAAGTTGTTCAATAAATATTAGTTGAACACATGAATGAAGAATGATTAGACAGTTGGCTCCTTTTACTCCCAGATAACAAAGCCAAACTGTGCGATGTTGGGCTACGCCCGGGCCGCCAGCCATTTTGGGAAAGTACCTCAGCCATTTTAAACTTGCTTCGGGCTGATTCTGGGAAACCGAAACCTAAGCGGAGAACTCAAAACTTAAAAGAACTAACTTCCGGGGTACGGTGACTCTGCACTTTTTTCCCGCCTGCTCTGTCCTCACCCCTCCTCCCGGGTAGCAGTGTGTCAACTCCCTATTGGATAAGAGCTCCCCCGCCCCTGGTACCTTATAAAAACCCCTGCTTGCTGTAATAAACAGAGTTCCGGCTTTGACCGCTCTCCTGGCTCGGTGTTCTTTCTTTGTCCCCGGGGCCGAAGCGCAGAGGGGATCGGGCCTGCGACACTCATCATCCCGCTCAGCCCCACAAGAGGTTACCGCCGGCTGGTCCGGGGTCCCCTCCCGCCCTGTGTTGTTGGTCCCCGGTGGCGAGGAACCAACAGTGCGAGGCACCTGCAAGCATTTATCTTAACTGCTCTAGTTTTCTTTACTACCCCCAAACTGACTCATGTAATTCCCCCACAACTATAAGAATGTAATTTATTATTTAAATTTACCCTTTCTCCCACTGGGCCTGGAGGACCAACTGTTCCTGGATCACCTCGGGGACCTCTTTTGCCTTCTTCACCAGGTGGGCCTATTGGACCCTGAATACCATGTGGCCCCTATTAAAAATAGAAGGACAGTCACCAGAAAGAGCCATCAGACAAGTGGGTTACAGCTGGAAAACTCATTTAATGAAGTCTGTCACACGTATTGAAGTATATTGAACAAACTACTTCCATCCCAAGCTATTATAATTCTTGTTGTTATTATTTTAAATACTTGATCATTTTGAGCTGTACACTTCTCAACAATATTTATGCTCTTATCATTAAAAAAAAAAGTGAAGCCTTACTGGTTCCCCTTTTGGGCCAGCTTCTCCTTTGAAACCTGGAACTCCTGGGTCACCCTAAAATAAAAATATCAATACTTGCTAAGAACCAGAACATTTAACCAAGCCAACCTGCTCTAATTTATTACAGTGAATAAGCTTTAAAAATTCTCTATAGCTGAGTTGTATTGAATCAGTAGTATAATAAAAATCATTTTTAAAATTTTGCAAATCTTGCAGAATATGTGAATTTTTATAATATCCTATGCAATTTGGTAGCAGTTTATTTCACAGTGGTCTTCAAGATATTTAGTTTACAATTTTTTCATACGTACTAGAATCATTATTATTCAGTTATTCAAATTTGATAATTAAAATTAGAACCAACAATGACAACTTCCATAGATAAATCTATTAAGGGTTTATTTTAGAATATAAAATTGTTCACCAAGAATCAAAATAATTTTATGTTAATGTTCTATTTATTGAGATTTTGGCAACTTCAGATAGGGCATTTCACCTTTGGAGTGTTCTGGGATTTTCTGTATATGTGTCCTTAAACACAAACTGTAGTTTATGTTGCAGGAACCAGGTACTTAAGTTCAGAACATGATAAAATCAAATGTGACATACCAGCAACACTCATGTTTTAATAAATCTGTTACCAACCCTTAAAAAGGATTTATCAGCATGACCACATTACTTGGAACAGAATCTAAAATATTTGTTTAAAGTAGTACTAGGAAAGAAAGTTTTTATTTTTATACATTAAGCTAAAAGCTATATAAACATAAAGCTTCTCAATATGTTTATTTCTTATGGCTTATAACAATATTTTTCCAAATAAATAATTTCTTATGGAAACTCATTCAATTTGAACAATATGTTGAATCACTCTTCAATAATAACTCTCAAGAAATAGCTGTTGAGGGCCGGCCCCGTGGCACACTCGGGAGAGTGCAGCACTTGGGAGCACCGCGGGTTCGGATCCTATATAAGGATGGCCAGTGCACTCACTGGCTGAGCACAGTACAGGCAACACCAAGCCAAGGGTTGCATCCCCTTACCGGTCACAAAAACGACAAAAAAAAAAAAGAAATAGCTGTTGAGCCCATTTTTAACCAAGTTGTCATTATAAATCTCTATTAAACCTCCACATTTCCTCACACTGGCTTGCGATATATTTTCATGACATTTATCATTCAACTATTTACAGAATTCTATAACATGACCAATGAATTTATGACTATATTATTTTAAATTTAAAAACACTAAAATTCAACATACTGCAATAATGTTCCATTCAGAATTCAAACATTTAAATTGCACATTAATGTTTGACTTTCACTTTACAAAGATTCTAATTTTCATTTCCCTCATTTGTGTGTCACATTATTCATGTGTCATTGTATCACATCACATATGATTTCTCTTGGCTCTCTTTGTTGGATTACAGTAAAGGATAATATTTGTTTCAAATACATTACCGGTTGGCCTCGAATTCCCGTAGGTCCAGTGCTACCCTGAGGTCCTGGAGATCCAGGGGGCCCTGGCAATCCAGGAGGTCCAGATGCACCTGGAGAGCCCTATCAGACAGCAAGAATGGCATGATGAGCAGAAGCTCAGGTAGCAGTCCAGGGTCAATGTCCAAAGGACCATGTCCATTTGAACTTCACGTGACATAAATGCAGTTACTCACCGTTGGGCCTTTGGCACCAGGTGTACCATCAGTTCCCATTGCACCCTAAAAGGCACATAAAAAATCATGAAATATTAAGGGATATCTAGACACATACTCAGATGTCCACCCATCTTCCAAGAGGAGGCAAAAAAATTGCAAAAAAATAAATTGACCACCATTATATCATAAAAATCACCTCTATGTCTAATTCCCTTCTACATAAGATAGGCAAAGTTGACAAAGGAAATGTGTTTTTTCATGAGTTTTAAGCACTCATTCAGAATTCAAAGAGAATATATTAAAATAGGCTGCATTAGCTCTGATGTTATAAAAAGTCTCCAGTTTCCTGGGCAAGTTTTTAGATAGGATAGAAGATACTTACAGGAAGACCTTGAGAGCCAACTGGACCTGGTGGCCCAGTTTCACCTCTCTGCCCCTGAGGACCTTCAGGGCCTCGTGCCCCAGTAGGACCTGCATCTCCCTAAAGGGGTGCAAGGGGAAATGTTAATTTAAGAAAAATATAACAGTAGTGTGGTACAAAGTTGATTGCTTTTTTGGAGTTTTACATTTTAAACTAAATATTTACAGGGGCCAAGAGCACAAAGAAGTTTACCAGGGATGTGTGCCTCACCTAGTGTAAGGAGTGGACTCACCTCCCCACCCACTTCTTATGTGAGAATGCTGGTGGCTTCTTAACTAGGAATATTCTTCACATCCCAATCTCCAGTTATAGCATCCTACACATCCACCAGGGTCAGCTTACGTTCTTTCTCCTCTGAACCTCCACAAAATCTAGAAGTTTTTTCTTTTAACCACATCTATCAGATTTTTTCATTTATTAGGTATTTAACATTTGAGAAAATCTAGATTCATAATGAAAAACTATAAACAGCCCTACACCAGGCACTACCAAGTTACTCAAAGAATGACAGTAGATATTCTTCCCCTACAGTTTGCTTTTAACATGTTCTTAGACAAATTTTCAGGTCCTTCAAGCCCACTTCAATATAAACAGCAGAAGGACATTCAGACTCTTTAAACAACACAAATCAAATGAGGGAGAGAAATTGACCCGATCCACCATGCTTGCAGTTGTCTCTGTTAAATGTAAGCCTAAATTTTTCAAGTCTAGTGATGCACCATACTTGATGTGGGCATCAGAAGAAAAATCAATTTATTTCCTAATGTCTCAAAAAAAAAAAAAAAAAACAATAACAGCTAAAATGTGATGCAGGATTCAAACAATATTTCTCTAAATGTGTAAAACTCATTATAAAAAAATCTATATAAAATTTTATATCATCATTACAGAACAAGTAAGTATTTCCTTGTTACATAAGAGATACGACTCACGTTTAGGAGTATAAGATATGATTTGATTTGTAAAAATTCAATTCCATTGACCTTCAGGGAAGCATTTATCAGGAAAGTGGAAAACACCTGTGCTACAAATTGTCTAATGAATTTGAATTTTGGCAACATAGAAACAAAATCTTATTTGCTGAAGAAGACACACTTTTGGGGGGTAGGAATTAAAAGATATTTTTTTAAAAGCCAGTATTAGGAGCAGGAGGAAGCGGTCAAGGTAACCTTTATTTCAATACAAGAGTGGCTCAAATGCAGGGTGCCCAGTTAAGTTTTAATTCTAATGACAAACAACATTTAGTATAAGTTTGTTTCATGCAATACCTAGGACACACTTATTCTAAAAATTTATTCTTGGTTTTCCTGAAACTTAAAGCTAACTTGTTTTCTGTGTTTTATCTGGCATATTATGTACCTATGTGGACCCACTCCTAGGGGGAGTTAGAAAACTAAAATTCTAAGCCTTAGAGGGCTCATTGGTATCCATAAAGCATGTTGAATCCTTATCACCCTTCACTGAAATGCAGAAAACTGGATGTGAAAGTTTATTCTTCATCCAGAGAGCCAGAGAGCATGGTAGAACCTTATAGGAATAGCAGAATCCTGGCCAAAAACAAAGACATGGGGACTTTTCGATGGGGAGAACGAGGCCAAAACCGGGAAGCAATTTCTCAGAGAAACAGTTGTGCTTGATGTCTGAGCTTTATTAAGCAGCTTTCAGTAGTCAAAAATCAGTAGTACAAAAACTCAGGAGGAGAGAGAGGTATCCAGAGTGAAAAGTTGTATAAACTGTGATTGCTAGTGAAGTCTTACCTAGCTGCCACAGTAGAAGCAGAAATCCCCTTCTGCTAATGCATCATCCTAGGTTTTTTGAGTATTCTTTCCTTATTTCCCTAGCCACAGCTTAAATGGGGGGTTGAGGTCTCACATGAAGAGGGGAGGGATTTTGCATGTTTTGATGGGGGTGAGGGGGATATAGTGAGGTTGGGGCCAGAGTCAGTGGTAGTAAGATTAGGACTTCAGAAAGCAGATGGGATTCAGAGGGGAAATGAAGAAAATCGCATCCCTTGAGTTCACACTTATTTCTCAGGGAAAGCAGAAACGGGTTAGTGAGATGACTTAAGGTGTCATTTTAAAGCAGCCACACCCCTGTGGCACAGTTTAAATACTGCATTAGAGACAGAGAGCCTTCAGAATAATCTGACTTGGTGCCTCTCACATTTCAAAGACCATTTGAAACATCAGCAACAAACTTTTTTTTATTTTTCATTTTTGGTTAGTTTCTAAATTCAATCCAATTTGAGTAGTCCTACTAATAAGAAGCATGAACCTATACTGAGGATGTCTCTGCATCAGGCACTATGCTAAGGATTTACATAGATTATCTTACTTAGTCCTCAACAAAATTCCATGAGAAAACAATGTTTAGAGGGTGAGGTGCTGCCCAAGGCCACAGTCATTTTTGTACAGCAGCATCTTGTGAATAAATCTCTTCTTTAAGATGAAGAAAATTATTGACAAAGGAAAACTGGGTGTGAGGAGTAATCAGACTTAGCTGATATAATCTTAATATCCGCCTACTGTAATCCTTGAATTTATCCCAAAGAACTGAGAGAAAGAACAAATTGTGACTTGCTACAATTGTAAGTCATCCCAGCAGAGTACTTTTATCTATTCCCACACAGAAAGCCAAACATCCTCCCTGCCCATTCCTTTAACAGTTCCATAAAACAAGGGGTGGGTAGCCAGCACTGTGTGAAAGAACAGCCTTTTAACAACCTCTGATTTATTTTAACCTTCTATTCTTTAGAACATTCTGCTGTTTATCACTCCTAGGCACGCTATCCAAGAACAAATTTCCAATTCAGTTTAAAGTTCTTATCCTTTATAACTAGTTTAATGTTCTGGTTTTAGAGTCCTAACACAACAGATTCTTTGATACTACAATTGTATGATTATAAGTAATTTTCCTTTAATTACACTTTATATAGTTAATTTCACTTTTTTATTTTCTTTATTTTTTTCTCTACATTCTTCACTTTGGGACTCATGTAATCCAGTAGAATTAAATAGATTAATATCTTACCTTCATTCCAGGATTCCCTGGAAAACCAGGAGAGCCAGATATCCCAAGAGGACCCTATTAAATGAAACCAGAAAAGTAATCAGACCTGTATTTAATTACAATCTAATTAGGTCATCTTTTTAGTCTTTGACAACATTCATTTTGACACATAACATAGGAATAACGTGCTTCATATTTTAAAATCACAAAGATAATAATGTAATCTTATCACAAGTACCTTCCAACATTGATCTAAAGTAGTGCTAAAGATCTATCGGAGGCATTAAATGTGATAATAGATTAATAATTGATAATTGATAATTGGATTTCGCAATTGCAACTCATAAGATTATCAGTTGCAAACAAATTGTTTGAAACAACTCTCTCTTGAGAGATATACTTTCTTTGTGTTAGCTAAGTAATAAAGTCAGAAGGTTATATTTTTTACCAAGATCTAGTACTTCATTCTACATAAACGATGCTTAAAATTATCTGAATATTTTAGAGTGAAATTTTTCAGGCAATAAGTGGCTATTTATCACTGTCCTATATTTGGGAAGGCACGCATCACTTTAAATCATCAATTTAGAGGCTGACTTTAAAGGAATGAGTGTAAAAGGAATTCTCTTCTAGGTTATCCTGGTTTTTCTTTGAGGATAATATTTTTAAAGTATATCAGTTTTGAATCAATAAAAGCCTTTTAAAGTATACTTTTTTGTCCTATATTTTGTTTCCATTTATGAGTAGTAACAAGGGAGAAAAGATCCTTGTAGCAAATAATTTCAGTCTATACAGAATACTATAATCGTATTCTGCTTTTGGCATATGGGAAAAACTAAAAGCTTAAATTTTTTCTTCCTTTACAGTCATTCAGTATTGACCCACACTGATCATAAATATACTCTACATACACCCTACAACTAATTCTCTCTCTCTTTCTCTCTCTCTCTCTCTCTCTCTCTCTCATACACACACACACACACACACACACACACACAC